CTATTTTACTTGACCTCATTATAAGTAAAGCGCTCGCTGAAGTAAATGAAACGACGGCGACAGGCCTCCGAGTCTGCCTTGCTTGGATCCTTTAATTGGCATCGTTGTGTGATGGGATGCAGTGTTTGAAGTGTCATCCGGCCGGAGGCGAGCGATATAATGTGATTCGGTCACATTCACCAGCTCGCTTACGCTCTCTCTGGACTCACCGACAGGGCGATTGACCTTCATGAAGAGTACTAGGGAAAGGTTAAAGGTAGCCAAGCAGCGTAGCTCACCCTAGCGCTTTGAACGGCTGGTAAAGGAATTCAGGCAATAATTCATGAAACAAAAGCTGACTCCAGGAAAGCCTTTGGGCTAGGCCGTGAAGCACTTAGTTTCATCTTCGAGATATTAGTTTTTGATACAATACGTCGACCTTGGTCGATGGGACGAGTAAATTTTGATAGTCTAGGTTCTAATTATTTATTTCCCCTTTTTTCTGAATTTTAATATTCTTGTATAACTACGTTGTCTTTTGACGGTGGAGTTGTGACTGCTATCTCATCTTTTTTTCTTTCATACGAATTAGGATGACCTAAGTGGGTCCCATCTCTTACTTCTCTTTGAAGTTTGTATTTACGGTTATGTTTACTTAAGGTTGTATAGCTTTTTGCATATATTCTATTGCACTGCTGCATGTTTTGTTTCGTAATCACGGCTCTTTCAGCTTCTATGGTTCGTGTATATTTATTTATCCAGCCTTGTTTATCAGCTGGCCCCTCACCCTTATCCTCTTTTGAGGACATAATGTTGTTTTTCGTGCGGGTTCACAACTTTTACGCGGCGAGTGCGATGCGACTATAACGTGAGCGGAATACGCGGTTACGGTACCACCAGTAAGCAGTATCAAACAAATATCATGTCTAATCGATAATTTGGAAACAGTCTCTTACCGCGCTTCTCCAAAAAATTGTAAATTCGATCCCTGTACTATCAGTTATCGATTCACCAGCTGACTTTAGGAACCCATCAAAAGCGTGAACGCTAGGGCAAGGCTAATTACGGTAATTAGAACGTATAATTAGCGGTAAAGGTCCGGAAAATTTGCAGTCATCCACGGAAATCGAAAACGGAATTCGAGCATTCAAGGAATCCGCGCAGTACTTATCAACTTCAATCTGTTCAAGGATGGATATTGACCATTTTGGCTAACTGCACCCAATTGGGAGTCCCCCACCTCTTGCTCCCAACCCCATTTTTCTCCTCTGACCACCCTGAAATTCTTTTGAGCGCTTCACAATGTGTGACCGATGCTCGCCAAACACTTCCCATGGCTGCGATGTCCATCAAAAGAAGGACCTGTCGGTCAAAGTGATTGCCGCGCTACGAAGAGGTTAAATCCATAATTGGCCGCAATCTTAACCCTAACCTCTTCGAGGGCCAAATTTCAGAGTGCCGCTAGCCGCTCGACGACCATCAAACAGCTGCTTAATGATCAGCTAGCAAGCGGATTAACCTGTCGAACGATTTACTGCGAATGAGCATCGCTTGACAGCGATTATCAGGCCCTCAAAGAGTCCTAGGAATCCCTTCGCAAATCCCCTGATCGGCAGGGCAAGTTGGTTCCCGAGCGAGTTTCTGGCCCGGAAACAGTGTTCCGGCAATTACTTGCGGCACTTCTTCCGCACGTTTGTCCCGTGTCAATGCCAATCGCGCGAAATTCTACACAATAAGCGGCCAGGAGGCGGAAAACCTGAGAGGTCGCCCACCGCCAAAGAGGAATGCTCGGGTAACCGATCCTTTTCTCTGCGGGGTTCCAGACCATGGGAAGAATTTTTTTCAGAAAAGCTGTAACCTGTTCTACAAGAAAACCTCTACTCATTCCTATGAATTGTTTTTAGCCGGCCTTAGAAAGAGGCCGTTGGCTTGAATTTGCCACAGCAGAACGTCAAACTGGCGTTTTGATTAGTCAAAGAGGACTTTGCAGCTTTAAGAACCAGCTCTTCATTCTGCAGGTTAGCCGGAATAGAATGGGTGAAGCTTAGAAGTAATCTGTCTAGGGTTTCGGCTTCCTCTTAAAAGGGCTTTTCTTCTCTTTTCACCTCCCTTGAGGTGTTCAAGTTTGCAACTAAGGAAGAACTTCAGATAGAAGAAAAGTGCTTGGCCGGTTGAGAAAGCCTGGCAACGGGGCCCAAAGGGACACCAACATTCATAGTGCGAACTTGATTGGATTTTTCTCGCTGAGCTTCCTTATGCTAGAAGAGGAGGAGAAATGAAAATGGAAACTCAACTCTAGACCACCCCAAGGAATCATTGAAAATCGCAAACAAGAGTGAGATTTTACCGTTCGAAGACCCTCAGAGAAGTGGGAGAAATGAACATGGAACTCCCTTATTCTTCAGCTTTCGGGTCCCCCCCCCCTACCCGCAGTTTCTGTGGTGTACCATGTTTTCAGTCCCCAACAATTCCAATGAACCGCTCGAGGAGATTCACATCATCGTCCGGAGGTTGGAGCTAATAGAAGCTACCCGATTCCCATAGAAAGATCGTGGCAAACGAAGAAACCCAGACCACAGGTGACAATGTTTGTGAGTTGTAAATTCGTTGCACTCGAAGGTCGTCTGATTATATTCAAACCGTTACGGCGTGATTGCAGCCAGGACGACGAGGGCACGTGGCAGATAAACTCGTCCATCGACCTGGCTAAGTAAGGCACCTGGAGCCCATAGTTCGGGCCATAGGTATATGGAAGCCGTACACCTAGACCCAAGGTCAAACACCACCAGTTACCGCTTCTGGCCAAATTAAATCCCGCAGGAAATCATTGACGTCGCGGGCGGTAAGCCGGGTCCTCTGTAAATCCCCAAGGGCCAGTTGCTGAAGTCTTGCTCGGAAAGAGAGCTAACTAAGCGACACTTTGCTCACGGAAACTGTTGAAATAAAAAGCCTTCGATATTGACTACCACGGAAAAATTGTATCATTATTCAGTGCAATTTAACTAGTGATTTTATTTGTTTGTTATTTTATTTCTTTGTTTATTTATTTTAAACTAGTTTACTTAAGATAACACCGTAGCATGATTACCCGTCTTCCTTAAGAAGAAGAATAGGATTTCAAAGAAGTTTATCCTTTAAGCAATAAACAATTCTAGCTGACCATGCTATAGCGATATTTGGGAGTGGTATCCCGATTCTGTCACGGCGCGTAGAACATGTCAACCCGGCGTCAGATTAAATCAAATTAAAAATCATTTTGAAATCATACAATGTTATACGAAAGGTCCCAAGGATCTCAACTCCGAAGTTCTATCGACTATTGCCAAAAAAAAACCATACTATCGAAGATATCAGTCGGTGTTCTCTTGCAGTACTGAGGCTGACAGGCGGCGCCACGCACACACACCTCTAACGACATAATGCTGACTGTCGTGCGCATAAAACAACCAGAAATCCCGTAAAAACGCAAGTTAGACGCGGATTTACGATGTGCCCACCTGAGCACAGCGCGGCTGCGCCAGCAGCAGTTTGGACCTGTCGCTGTGTAAAAGTTACTCGGAGAAGAAATCGAATGAAGAACGGGTCACAGTGCTGATTCAACGAGTAATACACGAGTCAAAAAGCATGCAGCCTTTGCGTAAAAAATCCGAGGACCAAATAAAAAGCGCTGATTGATGTAAGATGTTTCAAAGGGCAACGTGGGAGAACAAATGTGCAGCCACTGCGGTTTGCGACAGACTTCAATGGCTGAAAAGTTCCGACTGCAATACGGGGCATGCTATTTCATAGAAATCATGACCGCTTCCTCTCTTCACGAAAAAGTCATAAAAATTAGAGCAACCAATTTTTCACAAAAATTGTGAAGCCGTTGTAGGGTGTTTACAGACTACCTGACCATTCCTCAGTGGTGCTGCCGCAACCGGGTAGAGCACAGACGATCAGAGAACGGCCCTTGGATCGGCTTCGAATCCCAAGGAAGAGGGTGAGAGCCCCTATACCAAGGCTTGAAGGGGCCCGGGGTGGGTTAGCCAACTACAGTTCGGCATAAATTTGCATAGGTAAGGTCACAGTGGTCCATAAGGCTCTGCTTAGGGTAGAAAGCGTAGGCGCGAGCATCCAATTGGGTTGCTCAAAGGACCGAGTTCGAGTAGTTTATGGACGGTTGTCGGGGTCACAACCGCGCAGCAATTGCGATTCATATCGGGCAACACCTCCTTACGCATGTACTGGAACAGTCCTTTGGAAGGCAGCCTTCGCAGACCATGCAGGCGCCTTTTGAGGCAACTAGCCTAAACTAAATCGGGAATTGCTTTGAGACCAAGCAGTATCCCATCAACTAAACCGCGCAAGATGCGCATCTACAGCTGAGTCTCGTGAAAGCTGTTAAGCAAAAAGAACGAGACAGGAAAAAAATGAAAAATTCAAAAAAATAAGAAATTGTAATAGCTAGAGAGGACATTACATTGAAAAATCCATAACAATCCAATACTAGTGAATAAGCAATGGTTTTTGGTTGGCCGCTGTGGCCGATATTCACTAAACTTTATCTAACCTATTAGAGTTACTTTTTAGTTTACTTGTGTTTTGGTACAGCTGCTATAAGTAAGTAAGTAAATGAAAAGCAGCGAATAAAAACAAAAGCATTCAATGCAGCCAAATAGCGCCATAGAAAGTTAGTAGTTTCAAGCGGGTAATAATCTTCTTGCGAAACAAAATTAAGGAAAAGGGGCATTTTTGTAGGAATCGAAATTAAATTCTGGCTCCTCTCGTCGCAACATACAAAGCCATCCTCTCCAAGGCTAACAATAAGCCCACGAAGAGACCGAAATGCCAGAAGAAAATTAGAGTGTATCTGACCGCAACCTGGATTGGCCACCAACAGACTCCGGCAATCTTGAGATAGAGCCTAATTTTGTATTGGAGCTAAAAAAAAAATGAGAAGATTTTAATGATTCGCTTTGTCCACAATTTACTGGCACTCGATGGAAAAGCGTTGAAACATTTTTGTGAGAATTTAAAAATCATTGAACTATCAGTAATTGACTCACATGCCGATTCGTATTTGCGCCGGGTCTGAGCGTATCACATGAGAATCGCTTGGCTCCAGACGCGTAACACTGACAAGCGAAGTCTTCGAGATGACCGGAGCCAATTTCGACCTCTTGCCGAGTGATCTCCACACTTCCTTGCATGTACGGTAATTGTGTGCTGGGATCTGTTCCAAGTACACTCTCATAACGAGCCTCATCGAGCTGAAAAATGGATTTATTGATCAGTTGCTCAGGGAAGAATCATTCGATGATGTTTTCTAGCGAGTGAGAGGTACGGGGCAACTGCCGTAAACAATGTCGTTAGGTGCGCGCTCTCAGCTATTTGAACCATATTTCAACAAGATTGAGGTGTTGTTTAGTGACGTGCTGAGGGCTAGAAACAGCCCTTTGCTCATCCCAGCACACCTGATCTGAAAATCGCCACTAGATGTCTGACACGTTTGTTCGGCAGCATCGACCACACATATGATTCTCAGGGGACGCGAAGTTGGCCATGTGCCAAGCAGCATATCAAAATTGCAAAAACACCCGTTCAAGCTCTCAAAATACGCCCTCTCCCCAGGGTCGGCACTACCCTGAGATGGACATAGCCCTTGTACATTTGAGTATTTAAGGAACAAAGAGGGACGGGATCAATAGGAGTGAAAAAACCAAAGCGCAATACGGCTTGGCAAAGGGGGGGGGCGGGGGCGCGTCACGTGACACACGGCCGTCAGGATTAAGGAAACGTTAAGTTGTAGGACTAAGCCTTTGAGAAGAAAATGGACTACGAGGTGTCGAAAGTAATTTTTGTTCTCTCCCGAGTTGGTCTTATCCGCAAGCCTAGTACTAGGACCGCCTTCTTTTAGGCACGCCCCCCTCCTCCTAACCACATGCCAGGAACAACTAGTGGTTACCAAGCTCGTAAAAATTTTATCCATGGGCTTTTTATTCATTTTTCATCTCCTCCTCTAATACGTAAACGCAATGAAAGATCTGGATGGCTCATGTTCTTACTTCCTTTTAGAGAGTCCCCTTCAAGAGGGCTACTTCATCAGCCGTTACCTATAATTACTTCCGTAACAACCCGGAACGGATAGATCAAAAAATAAAGGCTGGTGACACCGGCCATGCACTGCAATATCCGTTCTAAATGCACACCTACAGACCCGCCGGATTCGTCACAGGACCCACAAAAAGATCAGTCCAAATCGGGCGCTTAGGTGACGAAAATCCTACGCAGTTCACAGTGGCCGCCGACGCGATCAGCTGGCGTCAAATCCGACATCGTTCCAACAACATGTGATTACAATGTGCACACGAAATGCGTACAATTGTCCGCAATAACAGATTAATAAATGCGTTACACGCCTAGATTACGGTATCCGCTTCAGAGCACATCGATTATGTTAAAGGTCATTTGAGAATTAAACACATGTGAAGAGGATTGGCCTAGATGGATTTCAGCGATTCAGGAGGTTACGAATTGTTTATATTTACCGTATATTGTTTACTGTTGAATTTCATTCAATGTCGAAAACAGAAACGGCTGTGAAAGCAAAATTAAAGGAAGGAGGAATGGGGCAGCCTGTAGGAAGCCACTAGGACCAAGCCCAATGGAGAGGAACGAATTCCGGAGAAAATAGGAATTGCTTTGCACCTACGAGGACATCTCCTCCTGTAAAGCTTTTTTGTGCTCGAGCTTTCCCGTGAATAGGTGAATGATACATGGCTCCCCCCCCCTCTGAGCCACAGGCTGTCCTATCACGAACTTTTTCAATGCATGCGCCACAAAGTTCCGAAATCAAAAATAGTCGTGAGGCATTGTTTGAATTGTGTTGGTGGTCCATGCAATCAATTGGTAGCGGAATTGATTTGCAAGGTCGAGCCCTTTAAATGAATACCGTATTATTTTCAAAGTAAGAGAACAGGAGGTTCAAAAAACCCAAATTATTTGACCTGGGATTTAATATAAGTGCCAAGTTTTGACTTTTGCTAAACATCCCAATTTTTGGTTCCCCTTCTATCTACAACTTCCGAGTGCCCAGATGTACGGTATCCCTACCAAGCCAATTACAATAATTAGGGAGCAACCCTAGGGGTTCCTCTGCCTTTTCCTTTGAGAGCCTTTTTGAAATGACGCCTAGCCATTTCGGCCCATGAAGAATCATTCATCTTGTGCTAATGAGCGTCGTTTCGACGTCCTTCGTACTCCATGGCGCGATTTCATTTCACCTAACTGGAATCCTAGGCAGTAGAGCTTGGCAGTTGAGTGTGAGCGAGCGGCCGTCGGAACACTTAATTTGACGCGAATTCTCCTTAGATGGGAAAGTCATTCTAATGATGAGAGAAGTGAGATTCGATTAGCAGCCCCGTGCAGACTCAGTCGCATAGTGAATCCATAGGGATTACGTATCAAACTTGTAATTTGACGCCGTTTTTCCTGTTCACGGACATTGCCACCGGGTGTCTGTGTATGTAAATTTGCAGCTGCCAGTTGTCAACAGAACGCCCGTCTCATAGACAAACCGGCGAAAGGTTTCGATAAGATATGCGCGTGGGAGACAAATGATAAGTGATCAGTGTGAAACAACATTACGTGTTTACGAGCTGCTGACACGGGAAATAAGCTAACAACTTTTCGCCTACTTCCTTTGGCGCAAAGTCAGTGATAACTTGAGTTCTACGGCTGAGGAACGAAAATCACGAAAATATTATGCACAAATGAGGCTACTCGAGGCTGCCGTTTCCAGATTTCCGTTCGATACCCAAGAATCCTCCAAGCTCGGGAACTTTAGGAGCCTCTACAAGGAAGCAATCTGAGAACTGAACAGGCTGGAAAATCAACGCTCTTTACACCTTATATAGATCAAAAGACTCTTTATTTTTATCCGAGACAAAGGGGGTATTTCTTCGAGGGTTTAGACCTAAAATTTCCCTTGAGTGTTGGAAATCTTAATTCTTCATTATCACTGAGGTCCAACGAACTAAAGCGAGTAAACGCTCAGAAGACCAATTCAAGGAAAATTGGGGTCATTACCCTTATAGGGTCTTATTCGAGCCCAGGAATGCAATGGCACCTCAAAGGTATCACTAAAGAACGATCAAATGTGGTGTGTTATTTTAAGTTCCAATGGTAAAGGGCCAAAGGAGAGAAAGAGGTCGAGAAAATGCGAGGAACCGTGTCAAGGGTCTCAGTTTTAGAGGCTCCAGTTACACCGCATTGCGTAATTACAAGGACACTGCCGTGCGGTTTACTCGGGTCAGACTTGGGAGTGATAATGAACGGTCCCAGATCACGGAGGTTCTCAAATCCCACAATAATGTTTAGAAAACGCACAGAAACCAAAAACCGAGCTCCCTGATCTGCATAGATTTCCATTTTTTTAAACGGATCTTTGCACCTCGGGGGTACGACGTGTTCGATATGTCCCAAATTGAAGGCAGATTTCAGTACGCAGTGTAATACTCGAACGATGTGTGACGAGTGGAATCGGCCTAGCGCGATTTTTTTCGCGACTTCCAAGACCTCCCCGAAACGTTTTATGAGCGCCGTCGAGGCGAAAAACAATCGGAAAGACGAATAGTGCAATTTGGAGTCGCGCAAAATCTGTTCTGACCCAGGGACACGGGAAGCGTAGCAGCCCCCAGATGCCAGCAGCAGCAGAGCTTTTGAGGGCGCCTGCCGAGAGAGAGAAAAAAAGAAGCTCTCAAGAAAAAACAAACCGACTCAAAACGCAGGGAGAGTGAAGGGTGAAATTATCCGAAAAACAAGTTCGTGGACAAAGAGATCACTGGAACAGTGAACGATCGATCGATATATCGATTAACTAACCCATTTGTTATTGCATTTGAAGCGAATTTTCCTCGCGTTCACCGCTTTGCATGACAAACGATACGGTCGCGACTTGATGACATGACCCGACTGAGGTTGTTCGATTAGCACCACCTCTTCCATCACTGAAAATATCGATTGATCAGGAACGATTTTGAATCAGTATTTAAATGGAGTGATAATTAAAAAAAGGGAAATCACTCAATAGCAAAAATTTAATTGAAGTCGCAATAGAACAGAGAGAAGTGTTCGTAGTATAAGCTGGGTTTTCCAGTAAATTTGATAAGACAGAGCGATAATGCTATTTGATAAGAAAAAAGTAAATAAGAAGTAGGAAAGGAAGGGAGAAAAAAAGAAGGAAGAAGAAGAAGAGTGCTGGTCCCCCCCCCATTGAGAAAATAAGAATTGCGTTATGAAAACTTGAATCGAAGTGCGGCTCATCGGTCTTAGTGGAGTAGTTCTCGCATTTTAGTATTGAGACAAAATGCATGGACGTATCCTTACATCCTCAGTCTATTACCAGAGTCATTCAAGCGATCTACCTCTTAAAACCTTTATTACCCCTTGCAACGATCAATGCTGTAACTACTACTGCTACTATTATGTCTACAGTTATAAATTAAATAACTTATTTCCAGCTATTATACTATGGGATATTACGGTATGTTATTTGCTCGCGTTTTTCCCAGAAACCTACGAATCGAGCAACAATTAAGCAATAGCAGCATCTATATAGCTAATATAGTATTGGTCAATAAAATGTTAGTTTTTTAAACCAAGCAAATAATATTGTAGTAAAAAATACTAGGATATAGTAAAAAATAGAAATGGATGAAGATAATTAAGTAAGTGAAGATCAGGGTAATTAAGTGTGACGAATTCATCTGGTGGCCGAGAGGAGCGATTTTAAAGTGATCTTCGGCTTTCACAGGCAGAGCGGTTTCAATGGAAGTGGTTCTTAACCAACTCAGTAAGTAAAAGGAAACCAATAGGAAGTAAAGGAGACAGCCGAACAAAGAAATAATTATATTTTAGATCCATTTTATTCACAGAACGGGTTTCAACGGAGAATATAATAACGAATAAGAAGAACCTAATGAAACCATGCACGATCTTTCCCAATATTCGACGCTGAAGGTTGCAGGGTAGGGTAAGTGAGCAGTGCTACCTGTCCCAGTTTGAGCGCACACAGATTTCGATTGAGTTTAAATTCGAGATTTGACTAAAATCTTGACCAAATTTTTAGAATAGTTGTTGTTTATTGTTTATTTATAATGTTATGCTCAAGGTAAACGCAAGAAACAGCAAAGTTATACAACTTCCAATTGTAAATTTCCTTTTTTCTTTAACTGTTATATGAGTTTAGCGATTGTTTTTTTGTTTGTTTTTCTTCTAAACATACTTGTACCGAACTAACCATACCCTCTGCCCTGCTGTGGCGCAACCAATTGAATCTGAATAAAATGAAAATACATAAACTAAATAAATAAATATACGAGGTCATAGAAACCCGGGGTGTACCTGCCTAACGTTTCTGCCATTGCGGGTACATTTAACTGAAGAATAATGTTCTGCTGTATGCAAAAAGATAGGCTTTGCCTCATTATTAATGAATCCAGATCACCTGTGATCACCTTGTAGGTTATAACCCTATCGGGTGCTAATTACCAACCCGGAAATCATCACGAATCTTTGTTACTTAGGTGCTCGAAAATAAAGTAAAAAAAATGGTTCATCCAACTGATTACTTTATAATTAGAAAAAAATTACTGATAAAAAATGCAATTGTTAGTCTCCTACTAAATCTAACAGTATCCGAGTAGCTTACTTAACAGAAATGATTACTAAAAGTTTAGTTAATAGTTTTTACCAAAAGTGGGTCACGAGGTTCGGGGAATATTATCCGCGATCACGAAACCACTAGCGCCACTACTGATCACCCCCTAGGGTTTGCGGTCGTTTATCACTGCCTGGAATCGCATCGTCCCTCCCCACTGCAATTCGATGTGGTGGACAATCGGCCGAAGAGGTTCCCATAATGGCTAACTCCGTATTCAGTAGCAATCGATCAATAAGGCTACGCTACCATATAGTCCGACAATAAATGAAGACCGATGAGCGACAAACACGTATTTGGAGCGAAATAGTTCTTAGTCATACCAATAAAAGGTCCGACGATCGCGACAGGTCAATCGGCGGCGATCAGCTATGAACATTTACGGGGTTAAGTATCTTGAGAACTTCTTGAAGGGGTTCGCATGCAGGGTCAGGATCTGAGGGTTTACATATCACAAAATTTCATGGTAGGCAGGGCTTGTAGGTTTTCTGATCAGTAGACCGTCCAGAATTGAACCCTGCATAGTTTTCCGTGATCCACCTTGATTGTGAAAGGAAGTATGAAATGGATGAAGAGAAGGTATGAAAAGGAGAATGAAAAAATAATAAAAGAGAACAGTTTGGAGCTCTTTCACCCTAGGACTTCATCTACGAAGAGATATGAGGGGCCATTCAATAGGGCAATAGCCTATAGCCCACCAATCAGACATAACCAAAAAAGGGTTTGAAGGAAATGAAGGTGAAGAAAAAACAAGGAAAAGGAAAAGGAAATCACCTGCGTTAGCTGGAACGACGGCGACAATGAGAAAAACTATCAAATGAGGTAGTAGACGCTTCATAAATGCGCCACCAGCCACCTTACATAGCAGAATATTCAGAAGTTCAGACGCGGCAGACGATCAGGTCTCTCAGTTTCGGCAGTGCCCTTTGGCTGGTCAAAAGGCCACCACGATGTCTATATGTGAGTGTGAATAAGAGTGAGTCGAACGTCGTGGATGCTGTGACACAATGGGCGGGGCAGACGAGACGAGGGATGCCCCTGATGGGCGGTGCCGTCAAGGGACGACGAAGAGGCGGAGGTCGAGGAGCAGGCAGTGGCGGCAAACGGGTAAAAGTCACCCGACCACTGCACATCGTCGGCCCTTAGATGGATGGGAATGAAAAACACTTATAATCTGTTGACCGTAAATCCGGCTAATCAAGTGGCACTAATGGTTATTAAAAGGGGACTTCAGCTGCCTCATAAGGTCAACCGCCGGGATATCACGAAACGGAACAATTGCACGGCTTATAGAAAACTCTATCTTGGAAAAAAGCTTTCTAACTTTGGACACTGTTAGGTTCCTACCCACCTTTTTCCCAGAACAAACGAACCCGTCTTACAATGGTCAGACCAGGATTTGTGATTACTGAACCTACAGACCTTCGAGACAGACTGTTTGGACTATTTTTGCGATATGAAGGTTATCGGGTGAAATTTGTTGAGTTGACGGTCAAAAGCCGCTTGATAGATCCATGAAGGGTTCAAGACTGACTACTGCGTGGTCTTGCAGATCTAGTAAGACAGGACAAGCAATTTAAAACAATCCTTAAAATTT